GGGGGCACCACTGAGTCTTTTCGTCTCCAAACAGTGCTGCACAGTGAAGCTGGGACCTCCTGGGCAGCTTCTTTGAAATGTTTCCAGCCATTACCTCCAGTGACAGAGTCGGCACGGTCCAAGTCCAGAGAGCTACGATCTCTCACCGCCCTGCATGACAGACACACGGGTACCTCAGGTACTCACGAGGGGGACTTCAGGGCCTGAGAACCTACCAGATTAGGAAGGAGATCAAAAAGCAGCAAGCGTCAAGGCTGCGTCTCCACACAAGTTATATTCTGCTCTATACTGGGTAAATTTCCAGCCACCTTGGAAGTCCAGGGAAGTGCTGCAGTTTAGGGCTTTGCCCAATTGAAAAAGTACTCATTTAATGAAATGGCACCACCCAAGCAGGTCCTTACCTGAAGAGAGCTGCGTCCATATAGCAGGAATTACAGTGGCCTTGAATCCCCTTCATCCGCCCTCGCAGGACACGCACTGCTGCCTCGTTCCTGAGGGGAGGAAAACTGTCTGGAGCCTGTGGAAGAACTTCCTGCCCTCCTGCAAGAGAAGCAACAGAAGCAACTCCCTTTAGCTTCACACCTCGTCTGGGTCAGCTCTGCCCTTCCCCGATGCCCCAGGGGTCTGCTCCGCTCAGAAGTCAGCACCACGCTCTCCTGCGCTGCTCCTGCTGGGACTCAACCGTGCTGGGATGAAGACTCTTCTCTTTAGTAATTCATCTACTGGAAACGGAGACAAAACCAAACCATCTCTTCTTCACCAGAGACATGCCCTAGCAATCCATACCGCCTCTGCCATCGTTATGCCAAGTACAACGAAGACAAAAAGAGCTACAAACAAGCTGGTGCTGTGTTATACGCAAGCTTGGGATCTCTCTGTTGAAAGACCCGCGACCCCAGCACCAAGGGGACAAGCAGGCAACTGTGCTTTAGTAGCCTCATCCCGCTGGCCTGTCGTCTCCTTAAGCTTCAAAGGTGGCTTTCTCAATCCCGTCTTTTCTGGTTTCTTCAGCATTCTCCCCTTGTAATTCAATCCCCTCTCTTCAGCATGTCCTTAAGACGTTCTTCCTTGTCCCTACTCCCAGTTTTTGGGCAGTCCCTACAAGAATCCTGTCTTGTCATTTACAGTGATCTCATTTACAGTTTCTAAATGGCTAGTTGACACTGTCTTCTCTCCCCTGGAGGAATTCCTTCCTGTTCAAATGAAAATACTGACCTGTTCTTCCCCGCATCTTCTCGTGAATGTCTTATCGTCACAGGAAGCTCTACATTAAAATTGATTTAATCCTCTCTCCCTTTCCAAGCACCTTCTTATTTCTCAGTCCCCAGGTGCAACACAGTTATCACCTGACATCCTGGCCATGGGCCTGAGTTACCCTCTCCGATTCTCCACAGCCACGTGCTTGGTCTACGTTCGCATAACATTTAAGATACGGTAGCTAGGCCAGGCCCTATCGCTACAACATTTGTCCACATTCAAATCTCAATTACGCAAGACCTTTTCTTCTGCCCTGAAAACCACAGGCAGAAGAGCCCTGCCTTGCTTGCAGCATTCACAATGCCTTGCAGAGACTGTCGCTCTGGACTTCTATCCTCTGTTACCCCCCAACATTTCCTGCCAGCTTCCCCTTCTCCAACACATCCATGCCACCGAGGCCTCATTTTTAGAGCCACCCACAATCTGTTGCCCTATATTCAATGCCCTAGTCTACGTTATCCCTGTATTAAATTATTTACCATCTCTCACACTTGTGGGGCATTCCCTATAAATACCACCGTGGCAACCTCAGCATCCTTAAAACTGACGTCTTTTGGAACACTCAGAGAAAGTGAAGAATATTAAACCACTGATTAAGACACCGCGCATGAGGCTTCTCCGAAGCGTGCCTTGTCCCAGCACGGCACTGTCTCCCCTCTCCCCAGAGAACTTACTGTAATCCACGAGGCTCAGGTCACTGTTGCGCGAACACTGGAAGCGAACGTCGGGCTGGCAGGACTGCAGCTTCACGAAGAGGCCGCGCTTCGGAGCGCAGTGGAAGTAGTATTTACCCAGCCATTCGCCAGCAGTGACCCCCTTATCTTCATCCTGGGAAAAGAGCGTTGAGGAGTAACATGAGAGCAGGCTTTCCACGAACGAGGTGCAATCCCCCATATGGCCATTTAACGTCCTAAGTGCTGCGTACAAGTTTGGTCCCATTTTGCTGGCTGTTTTCATTTATTCTGCTTAGGTTTTGAACCTATTGACGCCGCTTGTAAGATTCATGATTATTCCGTCCCACGTTCCAGTAACATCGCTCTTGAAGAAAGCAAACCATTACAAACCTCGTAATCATGCCACAGGCTCTCCTCCCCAGTCTAAGGGAGGGCACAATTGTTTGCTTGCCCTCACAGTTCACACTCTTGACACGTCAGGGGCCCAGGTCAAGCTGTGAGATAGGCAGCCACAAGCTGAAGGTCTTCAAAAGAGAAGAGCGACCAAGACCTGCCCGTTCTGATATACAATCTCACAGGAGGAAATATTTTGCTCCTTACCAGTTCAACTCCTGCCATTTTGTGCTTAATTTGGGGCAGGTAGCCCAACCAGCGGATGATTCCCGAAACCTGGTTTCCCTTGTCCAAGGTGATCTGGACCATGGAGTTCACCTCCAGGGATGAATTCCCACTTTCACACTCCTCACCGCTCTCGCTTATCTCTCGTTTCATTTGGCTTGGGTGTCCCAAGCCCACGTCGGGCTCGAACGGTGAAAATAAACCTAGTGGGCAATACAAAGTGTCAGGTGAGGTAGGAAGTCGACACCTAATGACAGACACCGCTGGATCTCACCTAATACCAGGTCTGATTTGAAATTATAGACCACACGGGCAAGCATCAAGCTGAGCACCAGAGACACAAGGTGTAATTCTCGGGACGTATTTCAGGGATATGGCCAAGCTGGTCTAACAGGCTGAGAGGGGATGATCCTGCTCCTTGTTTCCCTGCTCAAGGCTGCACGCTCCAGCCTCTCGCTGGCCCTGGAGCTAATCCAGCCCTTCACAGAGCCATTTCAGGCTACCGAAAAGGCAGCAGGGGGGTTATTTCCAAATTATTTTTCTGCCTTTAGTGAGATGAATCAACTCAGTGAAGAGTCTAATGACAGCTCCCCTCGGGCTGGCCGTGACAGCTGCACGGTGTCTTTTGACGGCAACAGAGAGATTCCACTCATTTCTTGTCTTGTCCAACGACTCACACCATCGCTGCTGGCATCTGTGCCTTTCTGAGTTTGTCTGGCATCAGGATAAGGCTCCTGCTCCACCTTCTACAGCTAAATTAAAGACTCTTTAACCAGTGGTGCCTTCTCCCCTAGGAAATACTTCTGCACTGCAATCAGACTCTCTCTTCTTCTTCCTGATAAATGGGGAGACTCAGCTTTAGCTGCCTAATGCAGAGAACCAGAACTCGCGACTTTTCTATGGACCTTCTCTGCCTCCTGAATGACTTAGGTTGGGACTAGCCGAAGCTTTTGTTGGACTTTCGGCTCATCGGTACCCTGCAGAGAAGAAATAAATGCTAAATCCCCAGGAACGTACACAGGGCAGACACATCTGATGATAACCTACTTTGCAAGCTTTCCTTCACAACAGAGTCCATAGGGATTTCTCTGAAAATGTCAGTTGTTCCTTCTTCTTCCTGAAAGGAGAGAAAATTCTATCAGCTAAATGCTTTATCAGACATAGGGCATTCCTGGAATACAAACCAATTTTTCAAACAGGCCTGGAAAGTTTGCATGTAACCTCGTGTCCCTTTTGGACATTCCTTCCACTTCTTTTAACGTCCCACCGTAACACAGTTTTTAAAAAAGTCCCCCAAACCCAAGAAAAGGCAGCAAGACTGCTCTTACCGGGCAAACTTTAACGAACCATTGCGTTCCCTCCCTGTAAACTGCCATCGCTATTCCTTTTGTGAGGACCTCATCCACGTAGAAGCTAACCGCATCTCCCACTTTCACAGGAACCCCCTCCTCCGTGTCCGGTTTTGGCTTCTGTTTCACGTAGTCGTCGTCCGGCACGGGAGTAAACTGGACTCTGCTAAATGGCAGGAAGATCCCGCAGTTCCGCTTGCACTTGAAATACTCTGTGCCGTGATAAGATCCATCGCTGCGCCCTCTGTTTTCACCCTCACCCTGAAAACACACCAGAAAGGGACGTTACGTACGCAAACATAAAGGGAAAATAAGCAACTTACTTTCTTGGCCACTTTACCTGTAACTCCACCCCGAAGAAGAACGGAGACAGCACAGCCGACGTGTTTTTGTAAATGCTCCCGATGTAGCGGATGATACCAGGGAAATGTTGCCGGTCGACCTCCACCATCACTTTTTGGCCTGGCACGGCCCGCAGAGCTGCTTCGAGGCTCAGCCTCTCCAAGAAGTAGTTCAAACGTTCGTTGTGGCTGCTGACGGCCAGGAGGAAGACGGCCATCTCCTCGCGCACAGGCTGAAGGATTTCTACGTTTATCGTGACGGTGGAGCTGTCATCCAGCATGATGACTTTCAAGAAGCAAGCCGGGGGCCTGTCATCGGAGAAGTTGCGCAGGTAGCTTCTCTCGCTGCAGAAGCACATGTTCCCAGCTTGGAAGTACTTGCTGCCATAGGCACAGTCTTCTGTCAGGATGTAATAGCAGTTTCCGTCCCCCGCTGAAGGCAGGAGGCTGGTCATCGTCATTCCCCTGGGTTGCGAGAAAGGAGGGAGTCACACCAGTGAAGATACACGCACGATATCACAGGATCTCAGGAGAATTCAGGTTGGAAGAGGTCTCGAGCCCAACCCCGCGCTCAAAGCGGGTTGCTCGAAGCCTCACCCAGTTGAGTTTTGAGCATCTCCAACGACGGAGATCCCACAGCCTCCCTGGTCCCTCGTTCCACTGTTTGATCACCCTCACAGTGGAAAAGAAAAAATTCCATCTAACCAAGGTTTTGCTAGTTCCTGCTAGTCCCTGTTGCCTCCTCTCCTCTCACTGTGCATCCATGTGGGACGAGTCTGGCCCCGTCTTCTCTACTAAACCCTCCCAGTAAGAAGTTGCAGAGAGCAGCATCTCGTCTCTCCTGTTCTCTACAACACTCTACAGCCAGAACGGCCTCGTTAAATTCCACCTCCTGCTTTCTTTTTGTACTTACTTGCAGGAGTGGGGCAAAGGCTAAATTCGGCCTTTCGAAAATTCTCTCAAAAGGGAGTTCTAGTCTGTGACTACAGCTCTTCGATGTTGTATTAAAGCACGTTAATATTCAAAACATACGCAAAGCACAGCACCTACCGCATCACTACGCTGAGGCACTAAAGATCACCATCTTTCAAAACAAATATATTGAAGAAATACAAATATCTGGAACCAGAAGTACATTTTTGCAGTTAAATTCTAGTTAAATTCTAGTTAAATTCTAGTTAAATTCTAGTTAAATTCTAGTTAAATTCTAGTTAAATTCTAGTTAAATTCTAGTTAAATTCTAGTTAAATTCTAGTTAAATTCTAGTTAAATTCTAGTTAAATTCTAGTTAAATTCTAGTTAAATTCTAGTTAAATTCTAGTTAAATTCTAGTTAAATTCTAGTTAAATTCTAGTTAAATTCTAGTTAAAAAGTTTTCATGCAGTTTACCCCTCCGCATCTCACTTTTGACACCACCACGCACAGCCAGGACCCAGGCTTTTTGTTGCAACATTAAAAAAAGGGGTGAATATAGAAACTTATTCCGGCAGGGTGGACAGAACTGGTTGGCCCAACCTGGCCAATACAGAGAAAATAAGAGACGTGCCCGTTTCTAGGCCATGGAGGGAATTAAGGAAGACAAAAAGATGTCTCCACTATGGGCTACCTGGTAGAAGTTTCTTAAAACTTGGAAGCGGAGAGAGGAAGAATCGAGCAGATGCAATTAAGGGAAGTAGAACCACGCTCGGGGCATTGCGGCAGGAAGCACGAATGCAGCTGTTTGCAAGAACAGTAAATGGGTGGGTTGGGAGGAAAACATAGGCAGAGCTCGAACAGAAAGGCTGCGCAGAGCTTAGCAAGGAGGAAGGCAGCGTTACTGGGGACTTCACTGGAGATTAACATCAAGAGAGCTCATTTTTTTAAAGAATTAGGAAAAGATAAATCACTGCGTGTGCTGGGGAAAAAAAAAAATCACCCGGTGCCTGACCAGATTCTGGAGCTTTCCTTGCGTTTGGGCTCATCGTGGCAGCTTCCTACAAGAGCCGTCACCCTTTCACTCTTATTTTTTAACCTTAGCGGGCGGGAAGATGGCTCGGAGACCTGATCCAAATGCTGCTGTACTGTTTTTGGGCAACGCTTGTTCGCTGCGGCTGAAGGTCACCTCGAAGGCACGGGGCACTGCGGGGGTACAGGGGAGCGGCCGTGCCAGGGCGAGCCCCCCTGCTTTCCAATAAGGGCAGGCTGTGGAAGCGGCAGAAATCCCGTGGCGCGCAGCAGTTCCCTTATTTCCCATCCACGCAACTCACTGCTGACGCTTGGTAACTCTGCCGGCGGAAAAAAGGCTTGAAATTCTGTGATTTTTAAAGGACAGACTGAAAGAATAACATTCTGTGTGCCAAACCGCCCCGCTTCAATCTTCCATTTTCAGGACCACGGCTTTATTTTGCTTTTTTTTCTTTAAAAAAACCCTTTTCTCTCCACAAGGAATACAATTAACCCTCACTGTGCTTTAAGTGCTGCCAAAAGAGGAAAACCAGAGCGAAACATTTTTCTCATAAAAAGCCAAGAATAAACCGTTTTCCTCATCAAAGCCAAGAATAAACTATATCTCTTTAACAACAGAATATGCACAATTCCCTCCCAGGTTAAGAGAAATAAAAGCACATTCAGGCCAACGTGCGATATTTGGGCTTGCGGCGTTTTAAACGGCGCCGAAACCTGACGGATGACGCCGAGGGGGAACCTGGAAAGCGCCGGAGAATTAAAATTAAAGCAGTAAATGGAGGCTGGGGTGAGGGAGGGCCCAGGGGCCTGCCCCTGAGGTACCGGGGGGGGGGCGGCGTCCCCACAGGGCAGGGCAGG